CGATCAGTAGTTTTGTTTGATTTGATTTTCTTAATATGCCCCAAGCTCAATGGATAGGCTATGTTCTTCGAAGAACATCCTCTAGTTTTGTGCGTCAAATGACAAAATCTTTAAAGTTGATCGACAAACTGCTTTTAACCATAAATGTTGTTATAATGCAAGAATGAACGTTTTATTGCTTATAGAAAGTGATTGGTCTCAGTAGGAACTGATTTTTATCTTCTGGTGATGATAATCATATTGGATGTGAATGGAAAACAACACAGTTACCTACCTGTTTTTCTAGTTGAAAGTGTCACTAATAACTTTCCTTTCAGGGGACAGGCATTGTGTACAACTGCTGCAGTCCTTGGAGGAAGGAGCTTGGCGTCACAAATCTCTGAGAAAATTGTATTCAACATTTGATTTGCTCTTTTTTCACGCTGAAGTATTTAGTTACTTAGTGTTATTATTGTTGAACAGCGTAATTAAGTCATATTTTCGTTTCTCCTTTTCAGGTTGCTCTCTCAGGTGGGGTTTTGTTCATTGTTTTTGGAATCCAGTCGTTCCTCTCAACTGTCGAGCCGTAATTTTTATTACAAAGCTTGTTATGGTTAGTAATGATGCTGGCTTCAATTCTGGCATGTTTAGGGTTGTTACTTATTTTATTAGTAGGGGGCTCTTTGTGTTTACGAGTATTTATTTATTAATTTATAGCACATGATCGAAAGTAGCTTCCTTTTCTAATTGGAGTTGGTTAACTATGGTAGAAGAAGAGGCTTCATATTATATTTTTCCTGCTGCCGAGGTCATTGTCATGATTGTTCGTCCTTAGTAATGAGAAATTTAGTCAGGAAGACAATAAGAAACTCCAATACGCATCTGCTTTTGTTCCCCTGAAAATGGGACTTGGTAGTGTTGAAATGATTGAAACCAAGCTTTCCCGGCCAAACAGAGGATATAGCAACATGGGCCAACAAAAACAAAGGGCCTACAAAAAGGGTTGCTCGAATGGAGCCAAACATGAATGAAACTAACGATGTAAGAAATGTCTCCATTCTGATGAAAAGGAATGGTTCTTATTTCATTATGTCTAATCTCTATGCGGTTAGCAATTTTGACATCACTACCATCAATCAAGTTCAATCTTCCTATGGTCTCTAAACCAAGTTTCATGCACACGATGTAGCGAAGGATAAGGATCCTATTTATGGCGTGGGTGACCTAATGAGTAATTAAGAGTATTTAGACACAAGCACTCAAAGTAAGGTGTTAAACTTGGCTTGGACCAAACTCGCTTTCAAGATCTCTCCAGGCCGTTCAAGACTTCTTTCAATCCAAATACTCCATAAAATTGCATAAGGAGAACGCTACCACCTTCTCCCTGAAGGGAAGATGAAGCAAAACATCTTCCATCATAAGACATCAATTCCTTTATTGGCCAAAATCCCGAAAACATTGAACAGGTAGTCTCAAGAACGAGTGAACTGATAACTCCAAAGCAGATAGCTCAAATCCTTAGACGCCTTCCTATTGAGAATGCATTAATGCTGGCCCAATTGAAGAGTTCCTTTGAATTCAATCCAGAGTGTTAACCCCTCGTGTAAGAACTGCCAAGCATGAGTTGACATGTCGGTAATATTAGCCTTCCTTAACAAGGAGAATGAAACAGAGGAAGAGGGGCAAGGACTACAAAAAGGGCTAGAAAGAGAACAGGATAATCTTTTGGAAGGGTTAGGAGCCTAACAACGAGTATCCAACCCTTCAGTTGATGAGGGTATTATCCGGAAATTAAAACATCTACATTGTAGAGTTTCTATATGTCAGCCTGTTTGTCTTCCTGTCAGACAAAGGCTGACGAAAATGCAAACTTTGGTTACTGTTCTTGCAGCATAAGATGCTGCCTTAGAATAAGTTTGAATCTGGCTTTTGAGGTTAAATTACTTTTTCTATAGATATTTTTTTTGTTTGTGTTTTTTTATTTATTTATATAATTTTCAAAAGTACCTTTAATGACTACGTAACCAAATACAAAATCATTTTGAAATTACCCTTATCATTAAAAATTTGGCACATTTTATATCTGAGTCATTGTTTCCACTTGCAGGTAGGAGATTGGATGAAATATTGCACAGCATATTCTTCTTGATTGGACGAAATTGAGAACAATTTAAAGGCCTGCATGTTTTACCAGAGATACTGTATAAGTGGTAGCTTTGACGAACACGGGCTGCAATGCAGTAGTAGTTCTTATTTCTAAAATATTGAAGATGTGGGCTATCCAATTGGAACGGATCCCAGAAAATTTGAACTGTTTTAGATGATCAGATATATTCCTTTGCAGTAATCACATTGTTAACACAGTTTAAAACAAAAAGATGTATTGGTTGATTTGGCACTTCAGTGCTTCATGACAATATTTTTCATGTTGATTTTAGTTCACAGAGGACTTTTCTTTTCATCTAACTCTAGTTGTGCATTTATGTCATAATCTGGGAAGTGCACAGGGAGAGGTAGCTGTTGAAGCCATTGGCAGCTCTAGCTTACTCCTAATGGGTACGAAGGCTTCCAAGAACAGTTTGTGCAATGGCGAGTGGGAGTGAGAAAGGAATGGATGAGCTGGGAACAAGTGATTGTCAATCCTAGAACTGCACAGCCAGAAGAAATTGGCCCAAACAACAGGCCTGCTTCAGGGGTTGAATGCAGCAGAGGTGGTAGAGAAATACAATTTATGATAAAAAGAGGCATTTCCCCAATTGGCTTCTCATTCAACCAAGGGACCATTTTCCCACTTTCCCTTACCAAAACAATTAGTCAAATGTATTGAAAGATTCTAAGTCTTCTACTATGGGATAATGCTTTATAACTTAAATGCTTTAATTGGCCACTTTCTACTTTCCCAGGATAAACTTCTATATTATGTGTGTTTCATTTTCCTTATGTCTTACAATAATATTGGAATATTCTAATAAGATCTGTTTAGAACATCAAAACTATAAAATAAAAAAATAAAAAAATAAAAAAATGCAAACTTGGAAATTAAATCAATTAATATTTGTTGGGTTTGGCCTAGGATACAATTTTAGTGGGATGACTAAGGATTTGTAGCATTATTTTCGCTAAATTAATAAAAATATTTAGAATTTTTTTTTTTACCTTCACAAATACCTGTTTAAAAAATACATTCACAGATGCATTCTTAATCTTTATAAAAAAAAAAGTTTTTACTCCGCATTATATGGATGAAGACGATTTATTTATGTTCCTCTCCAAACTTTTTAATATTATTTTTAAAAGTTCATATGTATTTTTAGAACATAGTATTAATGTTTTTGTCTATACATTAACTATATTTTAAACTTTTTAAAGAAAGTTTGTATATATTAATGAAAATTTTGAAAAATTCAATAAAAGAGCGTTCTTGAAATCTTTTTGAAAGTTGAAGAGTAGTTTTGAAATAAAATATAAATATTTTCACGCAAAATTAATGGTAGACTAGTTTTGAAATTTTTTAAAAGGGGTAGGGGTATTTTTGAACTTGAAAATTTAAAAATAATAATATTCGAGTATTAATAATTTTAATAATTATGTATATTTAAAAGGATGCCTAATAATTTTATTAGTAAAAAAAAATATTATAACAATAATTGCATAAAATGAGATGATTAATGGAGAAATATACATATATGGATACTTCCATTCATTTTCCCTCAACCGATGGATATCTGTTTCATAGGTTTGGGAAAGAGTTAAAAAAGTGGACACCAAATTTTTGTTGGCTTTCATATCTTCATTTTCTGATAAAATTAAAAAAAAAACAAAAAAACAAAGACAGTTAGAATTTATACATTAATTTTAAATTATTTAATAATCTCCAAGTTTTGTAACTTCCTACTATTTTTCAAATACCCACAATAAGAAGTTAGGGTCATTATTGACGAGTAATTCGTCACTATTGTAAATATCCACTAAAATGAGTTATGACTGACGAATTTGGTAACTCTTCCTTACTTTTTTGGTCCACTACGAGAAGTTATAAAATTAAAATAATAAATAAAATTTTCAAAGAAATTATCATTCAAAAGTGTTGTTTATGCTTCAACTTCGCAAATGTTGACTTACAAAACTCTAAATGATTTTTTATCACTTAAGTCAGCTTATAATATAGAAAATAGAAGTTGAAGCGAGTCTATCCAATTTTGTAGATAAATAATGAATCTATCCAATTTAATTCAATTTCTTTTATTTAAGTATTTAAATATTCAATCACAAGGATAATTTAAATTAATTCATCAACCAATAATTTTAGAGTCATATCCATTCATATTTCGAAAAAGTTGCTCTGAGTTGGTTTTATTTTTTATTTTTTTTGTCAAACATAGATAGATTTTTTTTTTTTTTGGTGAGATTAAAATTTTAATTATTTTGTAGATAAGAGACCCTATATTTGAATAAACATATATTTAAAAGAAAAAAAAAAGATTAATAATTCAAAAAAAAATTATTATTCATATCAGAATCACTTCTTAAATTTGGAACCAAATAATAAAGTCATTTATAATTTTAAAAAATTAGAGTAGTAATTATAAATAAATCATTTTACCTAACAAAACCAATTGAAACAAGTAATTCCAAGCATGTAATTATCTTTATATGAATTATTATTTTCTTGATTTTTGTAAACGCCATAATTCTTTTAAAGATCCAATAAAAATGCTTTAATTCTTTTTTTTTTTCTTCTCATTTTTTCAGATCAAACTTTTACTTATTGTTTGATTTTTGTAATGATTTTATATTTGAATATTTCTTTTTTAAATACTTAATTTTTATTTTGTATTTAGAAAATTTCCAATAATTTAATTCTTTTAATTGAATTAAACTGTTCATTTTTAAAAATACAATTTATATATAAATGTATTTGTTTATATTTAATTTCATAATAACTTTTAAGTTAAATTAAATCTTTTAAAATAAATAAATAGATTTTTTACCAATAAAAATTATTTGAGTTACCTCTAAAAAAATGTTGTAAGAAAACATTTACACATCAAAAAGTGTAGAAAAAAAGGAAAAAATAAACAAAATTTCAACCCTTCGAAGCTCAAGAAGCAGGTGAAACTGAAGTGCGAGTAGAGGAAGATGTAGTAGAAGAATTACATTCGGCGGCGGCAGCGGCGGCGGAGGAGGAGGAAGGAATCATGGGCCTGGGCTTGGGCTTTTGAACTGTACTGGGTAATGGCTGCGGCGCCGCCGTTGCAACCGCCGGTGCATATATTCCGTTGGCGGTAGCGGCGCTGACTGTTTCTCTGGAGGAAGTGGTGGCGTAGTCGGACGCCGGTACCCATATGCCTCCGACCACCAGGAACTGGGGCGGTTGGACGGTCTCGTTGTTGTGGATTGTCGGAGTCGGACATTTGGTGTGCAGACGATACTTCTGTAGATGACTTTTGACTTCGCCGTTGGTAAGACCATCCACCTTCATCAATTCCCTTATTTGCTTCGGCGTCGCCACTGCCATTTTAATTCAAACCATATAAATTAATTCAATTCAATTCCTTAACAATAAACTCAATTTTCATGTTCTTCCTTACCATGGGAGCCTCCGAGCTGCTGAAGCGCATGAAGGAACCGCCGGTGCAGCTCCGGAGACCAGCAACGTCTCTGTTTCCTCTGATTCTGTGCTTCCTTCTCTTCCCGTCGGCTGCTTCCGCCTAACCCCGTCTCCGCAGCCGGAACCGGATCTGAAGACGACGACATCATCCCTCCGCCACCACAGGTTTTCTCCTTCTGAAATGGCTGGAAAGCACCTCCATTTCTGTTTACCTCAACAACCCTCGTGTTCTCCGGCGTGTCCTGCACCACCAGACACAATAACGCATAAATTACCGACGAGACTTAATTTAAAATCCGTGCGAAATGGGGGGAAAATTTTACCTGACTCAGAGTAGAAGGATCTGAGGTCTGATTCCAAAGCTGAGCAGATCTGAGCCAATCGGAGGGAGGCAAATTCAAATTGTTTAAATCAGAGTCGTTAACCTTGTTGTTCTCTGTTTGAGCTTCATGGAGGTGTCGTGGTTGTTCAGAATCAAAAACCCCATTTCTGGTAATCGGAATGAACTCCTCAAGAACAAGACCCATGTCGCTGGAAGTCTGGTCGGAGCACTCGGATTGACGATTCTCCGTCGTCGTCTCCGATAGCTGCTGCCTGCAGCAATCAATGGCTGCAAAAGACCCAAATCAGAAAAGAAGAAGAAGAAGAAGAAACAGAGAAGGGGGGTTTAATGGGTTCATACCATGGGAAACGATCTGCAAACAGAGAGGGAGCTCGCGCTGAAACATTAGAACTTTGGTGCGTTCTTGTTCCAAAGTATCGGCGAAATCGGAGAGCGTGAAACCCATTGTTGATGCAATTTCTTGCATTTTGTAGGAGTAAACCATAATTCTCCCACCTCTGTTTCTGGTGGAAAATGGGAAAGAAAATGAAATCGAGAGAGAGAGAGAGAAAGAGCAATGGGGCTTGAAAAAGGGATCTAAAAGAGAATCATTGGGAGGAAGAAACTTGGTGCTCAAGCTCCATGATCGTCAAACTAACAAACAAAACAAAGAACCAGAGAGACAGAGAGACAGAGAGAATTGGAAAATTCAACGGAGAATTTATGGGAGGCGATACAGAGAAGGCAGAGACTAAAATATCATGGTCGGGCCGTCGCGTAGTGTTACCAATATATGTTCTTTCATGGACCTTCTCAATAACCCAACGCCCCCTTTTCTTTTTTCTTTTTTCTTTATTTATTTTTAGTTAATAAAAAATAACTAAATACTTTAATTTACAAAATCCTTTTTTTGACCTAAGGACATATAAAATTTATTTATTTATTTTTAGTTCCGCCTGAATTATTCTTATATTTGTTATCTAGTTTTAATATAAATTCTGTCTCTAATTTCTTAATTTATGCTAAACTAATAAGAATTTATGAAAAATTATATATTTAGCTAGATACTAGAAGCAATATTTCAAGTTGCGATCCACTGTAAACTCAGTTTAGGGACATTTAAAACATAAGTTCAAATCAAGATAAGTTAGAACCCTTAGTCCAATAACAAAGGTGAACACACGATGATATGGACTCCATGACTCTGAATGATGCTCCGTCACTCTATTTATATATCCTTATCATTGTTTGAAAAACGTTTTGAAAAAGAACCTATTAATTCCTCTTATGATGTCGAACATGTATTGACACACAACAAAAAATTAATACAATTATAGAATCTAAATCTAAAGTATATAAGCACGTTGTTATCTTTCATATGGTTAAGTGGACATTTAACTCATGTTCTCGTATATGGTTATGCATAAACAAACTTAATTCTAACTCTTACGTGGGTAAATGATGCTTGCAATAAAATAAAATAAATATTTTATAAAAAAAATTAGTTTCTATCTGGAAGAATTAATTTTTTTTTTCTTTCTATATAAATCTAATTTACTCTTCTTGATTTCATGAGAATAAAATTTAAAATTAAAAAAGAATTAATTAGACATTAATTATTATTTCTGACTTTAAAATTGTTGAATTAATTAAAAAAAAACAATTAATTAAGATAAGGGAAGAACAGGTGTGAGCATTGAATTGGTTTACGCTTTCGTCACCAATGAATGTGCTGTCAGTGTCGGTGACGTAACGCGTTTCCACCCATTCATCTGCTTCCTTAATTTTTTAAAAAGTTTATTATATATATATAAATTTTCCCCCAATAGAATATTCCAGAAGATTCCAAGAAGGATAGAGGAATCGGAGGCTAGGCTGTGATCCGGTACGGTCGTGCACACCCGTTCATTTTGGCCCTTTGTCCTTCCTTTTCCTTATTGTGACCTTTCATGCTCTCCCAAAGCCACTCTCAACCAATTTCTTTCTTTACCCTTAAAAGAAAAATCAAATTAAAAACTCTCTCTCTCTCTCTCTTTTATTGGGTTACGCTCGCTATTATTATCCTTATTCTCCCAGACTTCGTACCATTTTTCTTCTCCTGTCTCCTTTTATATCTTATATTCTATTCGATAATAGTTGAAATTCTATTCAAACTAATGAGACTCGGGTTTTAAATTTGGATAAGGATGAAAATTTTAAATTCAACACCTCACGAACCTTCTTAGTATATGCAAGTTTAAGATATAGTATAGTCGTGAAAATCTTACGAAATTGATAGGTCTCATCGATAACAAAAAAAAAAAAAAAAAAAAAAAAAAAAAAAAAAAAAAAAAAAAAAAAAAAAAAAAAAAAAAAAAAA